GTTTTCCCAGCATATTTATAGGTGGTGTGCAAATGGGGTGGCAAAGAGTCACCTTCTGTTCCTGGAGGCAAAAGTTAATAGGAGTGAGATGAAGAAAGGTAGCACAAGGCCTTCTAGGTTTCTAGATAACACAGGAGAACTGTTGAATGGAAGACAGTAGATAAAAGAGAAGAGAAGCACATGGTTTCCAGCAGTAAATCCATCTCGCCTTTCACAAGGCCCCATGGCTTTGTTATTCTTGCAGCTAAAAATCACTTTTCTGATGCATCTACCAGGGACAGAGAGGAAGGCACTGTGAGGCTGCAGTTTTCCAGCTGTAAGGCAGGGACACCATGATGTACATCACTCAAGCAGGCTTACAGGGTACTGTACTCTGTAAGCACTTTTCACACCAAAGGATGCCAAATGGCACAGTTGCTCTTCCAGTTCTAAAGAGGGGTGGCTTCTGATGCTGAATTAGAGGGAAGAATAGGGGGAAGATCTTTACAAAGAAGTCTTGCACATTTGGCTTGAAACGTGGTAGACCAGCACAACTGTGATTTGGTGCAGGTCCTTATTTTTGCAGGTATATGTGAAATGCTGAGAGGTGTGCCTGCATTTCCTGCTAGGGGTACAGAGAAGGGTTTGTGGTCCTTATGTTTCTGTCTCCAGAGTGGCAGAGAATCCAGGAATGCTCCCAGTCCTAGCAGCTGATGTGCAATCCTTCTACTGAAGGGCTGATTTTCAGGTGAGGAGCCAGCTGACCACGAGTTCAGTACATCAGCTGCTCACCTGTCTGCAGTACTGCCCTGCTGCTGAGTAAACAGCTCTCTCAGAGGTTCCTCAGAAGGAAGAGAATATTCTCTAACTTTCTATCAATAGGTTTTAAAGGAGAAATAAAAAAAACCCAAACCCACAATCCACAAAAGCCACAAATCAGCCCTTGAAGTGATGTCAGTTTCGTCTCTCTGCCTGTCAGCTCCGTGTTGATAGGCTAGGCTTCCTGCTGGGATGGGACAGACAAAAGGCTGTTTAGGGAGGCATTTGGGTAAAGGAGCATTGATTGCTTCCAGCCTGTGTAACTACAACTGAGAGTGTAGCCATTGTTGCTGGGAGCATACTTCTTTTTGTTTATTTGTCGGCTGTTTTTCTTTAAATTCTCTCAGATGAGGAGGCCCATCAGTCTTCTCAGCTTGGTGTTTCTGAGAAAGGAAAAAGGAATGCAGGGACCAGTGCCATTTCAGTTATGCAGCTTAAGCAAGGCAGGGTCCATGGCAAACAGCTGAAGAAGCAGAAAAGCAGTGATGGAAAATTTAATCTGTTCCATTTAAGAGGTTAGCACCTCTAGCTGTGGCCACAAGGACCTCAAAGAACCTGAGCAGGAGCTGTGATAACAGAAAGAACCAGAAAGAGTCCCAGTGATTAGTGGCTGTAATGTAGGCAAATTCAGAGCACTTATGGCCTACCTCCAAGCAAGTGATTGCTCCAAGCAAGGACTTCACCTCGTGTGGGAGAGCTGCCTGTGTTCACATTGCTGGCTGGAAGTAGGGGAAATATTCCAGGTCGGACCCATGACATCTGCTGTCATAAAGTAGATTTCAGGCCGTTTCCTTACCAGGTCAGCTGGGTAAGGCTGGATACCACACAGGCAAAACAGCACTGAAAACCACAATGGTTGACACATTCTTTGTGCAGTTCTTCTGCTCTTGCAGCACATTTTGGCATGCCCTCTTCCTTTGCACAGACACGAGGAAGTGGAAAGCACACAGAGCACAGGCGAATAAAGAAGGTTTGATACCTCAGGAAGCTTTGCACACAGATAAATTATTGGTGTGGCTCAGACTTGTGCTAACAGCCTCAGCACACGGATCAGATCGTGATAAAGTTTATTTAAAAAAAATAAACAGACGAATCTGCCTTTTGTCTGCCCAAGATGTAACTAAAGATGTAGTTAAGTGGATCTGGAGTTAAACAAAATGTTAGAAAAGTACTAGGAAAGAGCCATCTTCACTTGGCCTCAGTTGGGTTTCACTCAAAAAAGTCTTATTTTCAGTGCTGAAGAACAGAATAATTTCTGGTGTAGGCATTGCTGCTGGCAGCTGGTTGTGCTGGGCCAGGAGCTTGGAATCTCTGCACAATGAGAGAAGCAGCATCTCTTGGGACTGCCGGTAGGGCTGCCAGAGGAGCACACAGAACCTCTAATCTGGGAAAGGAAGCTGGCGTCTGCCCTGTGGCCCTTGAGAAGTTGCCAGCGCCTGTGTCAGGTTGCAGTCTTGCCAATTATCTCCCTGGCAGTGGAGGTGAATGAAAAACAGTTTTCTATGGGCTGGGAGCCCAGTAAGTCCCAGCAATCAGGCTTCTTACAGAGCTTTGTAAGGGAGCAGCTTTGTTCTTGGTCTGTGTTTTCACTGGATCATCCCTCACCATGGCTGAGTGTGCAGCCACGCTTCCTAACCTGACCTTGTGTTTGAGCTCCCCAGGCTGCCTGAGCTCTGGCAGGCTGATTTCAGCAACGAGGGTGAAAAGAAGATGAAATATTATTCCAAGGAAATGAAACCCATTAGGATTTGGGATTTTTGTTTGTTTGTTTTTTCTTCCCTTGCACAAAGGAAGGTGAAAAGCTGTATGTTTTGCATAGCGACCCTGCTTTCAGCTCCTGTACCTGCCAGAGATTTGACTATTCCCCAAAGCACAGCCTTTGCTGAGCAGAGTGCTACAGACATTCTCCACAATTGTTAGCACAGCTCCTCAAGAGCAAAGAAAGCTGCCTTTTTCTGGTTGTGGGAATCTTGCTATCCCTCGTGGCTCTTGGGTTTGCAGCAATGTTACGTGGAGGAAGTCGAAGGAAAATGCTGACTGCCTCCAGAATTTCCCTTTGGGATTCTGTGAACAATGCATGCCTTGTAGTCACACACAAGCAGCTTCTCCCAAGCAGAATGCCCAAAGGTGCAGAGGGCTGGGAAGACGAAGGCTGAAATGAAGCCATTGCTATATGTGCTGCATATCAGTGCTTCAGGACCAACAGCTGCCCCCGTAAGACAATGTTTTGGAGATGTGAGCAGAATTGCTGCTTGCATGTTGCACTCCCAGACCTGTATCCTGGCTCTCCAAAATTGCTTAGGGCTCCTGAGTGCTGCATGACCAAACCCTTTCTAAATGCCTCTCAATTCAATGGATCTCCTCTGATCCTAGGTTCACTTGGGGAAGATTGAAGTGTTCTGCTGTAGATGGAGGAGCATAGCCTGGGCTAACAACCTCCCCGTGTTGCTTCAAGGACTTTTTCAAATCTGTTGTTGTTTCATTGTTTCTCTCCTCTGTCCTCTGATAACTGGTGTTTTTCACTTTAATCCAGAGAGTGGAATTTATTAGGAAGAAGTGCAGTTACTGCTGATGTAGCTACAGGGACTCCCTGCAGATGCTAGGATGCATCAGCTGGGACAAGGTAGGCATGAAACCTTTTGTTGGCTTTCCTGTAACTTAGAGCAAACATCAGCACTCTGTGTGTTTAGGAACAGTGTGAATGTTAGCTTCTAACATTTGTGATGTTGGCAACAAAAACTTATTCCCAGTTTTGTTTTTGATAAGAACTGCACAAAACCAGCTTCCAGACTAAGAGCCATTCCCACTTGAGTTATCAGGGTTAATATTTAACTGCTCCCTGTGAGTTAAAATAGCTGTTTGCTGCAGTATGTAAAACTGCATTTCAGGTGCGGGGGATCATCTCTGTTTGCTTTTCCCTTTGCTAGGGGAGAGGTGTTCTGGGCTGCCAAGTCAGTCTCTGGCAAAGTGCACATTTGCATGATATGAACTGGGGAAACTGGGACAGGGCAAGACATTGTCAGGTGCTATGGATCAATGGGAAACACCATCTCCTAGATCTGGATATGCTGATAGCTCCACTCAAGCATGGTGTGTGCCCTCAAAGCTGTGGCAGGGATTCATTCACCCTCGGAATGTTTTGTGTGCACATGGCATCAGTGGAGCTTTGTTTGAACTGACACTAGTGATGAGGAAAGCCTGGTTCTACTTGTCCTACTGAGGTGCAGTAGTGTGGAAAGCAGTTGTCTCTCTGTACGTGATGACATGATTCAAACATAAGGAACACAAAGAAAGAAGTGGTATTGTGGTTTCACCAAAGCGATGTATGTCTTCTACGTTCTGCAGCTGTTCATGGACCCAAGTTCATCCATGCCCTGTATCACTGTTGAAGTAGCATCATTGGCATTTTCTGTCTACTCAGTGATCATTATGAAGGGATGGGGCAAGAGTTCAGCCCCAAAAAGGGACTGGTCCTGGCCATGGCAGTGGAGGAAACTTGACAGGGAGCTCAAAAAGAACAGCTGGAGAGTGCAAACTATCTGTGTGCCATCTGTCTGTGTGACAGCTCAGAGCCAAAGGACATGTTTCTGAGCCAGGTGAGCCTGTGTAACAAGTTTGTTGGCCATAGCAGAGTGAGATTGGGGTGAAGTTGACATGCTTTTAAGAAGTGAAAAAGTGAGGCTGAACTCTGGTAGTCTGAAAGTTGGGTTGGCTGGTTGGAGAGGGAGGGGACTGGCTGGCTGCAACTGTCAGATAATCTGACTGTAAGCACTGACTCCTCTGCATTGTGGTGGATTTGCAAGGAGTCCAGCTCTGATCTGCAGCAAAGCACTCCCGAAATAAAATGGATGTGTGTGTCTTATCAGCTTTTGTGGGCAGGGATTGCTTTTGGATTGGAGCTACAGTCATGGCAAGAAGAAGAAACCAAAGATTTGTTTGTGCTTATGCTTCGAATCTTTCCCGGTCCCTCGGGTTGGTGGTGGTTTGAAACCTATTTTCTTCCTCTAGTGTGTGACAACCCTGCCTGTGCTACAGGAGTTGGAACTGGATGATCTTCAACGTCTGTTACAACTCATTCCACGTTTCTCTGACTGCAAGTGTGGCTGCTCTTGTGCTTCACACCAATGCTCCCAGTGATGCCTCCACCAGATTAGAGGTAAAGGATTTCCTTCTTCTTACACCAGACTAACTTCATAGAGGGAAATAGAGGAAACCTCTCCTGTCTGTAGTAGAAAGTGTTTCTTTCCCCAGTTTGGGTAGCAGTAAGTTTTAAATAATAGAATCGGTGTAAAACTGCTGTCTTGTCTGACAAATTGGACCTGTGTGTGAAGATACAGGGAGCCTTAGGAGAGAGGGTGTGAACATTCTTGCAGGCAAATCCAGAGAGAAGACCAGCCCACTGGTTCAGTACACCTGGAAATAGCTGCATGGGGCACACCTCTGGGCAGCAGCAGCAGAGCTTCCATCTCTCCCGGGCCTCTCACTATGCGGTTTTTAATCAGAAGACTTCCTAAAGATCCCAGAATATTCCGTTGGCTCCTTATTTTAACAGTCCTTTCCCTCATCATTACTTGTTTTAGCTCCTTGTTTGGCGTGGATAAAAGTGTTTTCAGGTAAGAGCCCTGCTTCCTTGCAGTACGTGCTTGTGGATACGGTGCTTCTGCTCGCTTTCTCTCCCTCTCTCTTTTAATCTTGAAAGTTGCACGTTGGATCTGAGTTTGATGTCCACTTTCCTTTAGAAAGCTGTGTTGTATACAATCAGAGCACAGTGTTGGAAGATTGCAGCCAAACTTTCTTCTGCTGTATTGCCTGCTCCCAGTACTTCCCTGCACAGTTGTATTAAGAAAGCAGCTTTTACTCTGTTCCCATAGTTTGGCACTACATATTTGCTTTTACTTTGTAGCTCCCATAAGGACCTCACCCAATTCTAGCCTCGACTGCATTGCTAGACATTGAATTTGTTGTGATACCTTTACATTTATAGTGACTTCAACACTTGATTCCTAAAGTAATACAGACATGCAGTGTACTGGCACACTGATGCCACGCTGACATGATAAAGATATAAGTTATCTTTTTTTTTTCCATTCCTGGCTTCTTTAGACCATTTTGTCCTGCAAAGATACTGGAGACACTTAACACTGCTGAAACTGTATGTAGAGCACACCCAGGCATGTGCAGTATGTAGTTGTCTCTGTTTCCACTTCTGTGCCTTTGTATGTAACATGAAATACAGAAAGCAGCATTGTTTTTATTTGCTTCAGGGCTCAGTAAATTGGAGAAGGAGGTGACAGTAAGTATTATTGTGCTTCCACAGTTGTTTGCCAGCTCTACTTCCGAGGCTGCTGTTTGATGAACTGGGTTGAACCAGTTGTCTGGTTTTAAAGAGTTGATCAGGGATCAAGGTCTGTGCAGGGACAAGTGCCTGGCCACGTGCCTCTGACTGCAAGGAGGTTTTGGATGCATAGAGCCCTCCATTTTGCATTTTAGTCTCAATGTTACTAAATGTCTTTTTATCTAGAATATAAGTGAAATATTTCCTGTTACTGGAGTATGCAGTGACACATTTAAATGTGCAGGGCTATGATAGAAAGCAACCACTGCATCCCTGATTGAAGCTGGTTAAATGAGTGGAAATAGAGGAAGAGCTGATCACAGAATCACAGAATCACCCGGGTTGGAAGGGACCTCAAGGATCATGTAGTTCCAACCCCCCTGCCCAGCAGGGCCACCAAACACACACATTCAGATCAGGTTGCCCAGGACCCCGTCCAACCTGGCCTTGAACACATCCAAGGACGGGGCATCCACAACCTCCCTGGGCAGCCCGTTCCAGGGCCTAACCACTCTCCTTGTATAGAACTTCCCCCTAACATCCAACCTAAATCTTCCCTCCTTCAACTTCGATCCATTTCCCCTAGTCCTGCTGTTGTCAGCCCTTTTGAAGAGTTTACTCCCCTCATGGGTGTAGGTTCCCTTCAGGTATTGATAGGCTGCAATGAGGTCACCCCGCAGCCTTCTCTTCTCCAGGCTGAACAAGCCCAACTCCCTCAGCCTGTCCTCATAGGGGAGGTGCTCCAGCCCCCTGATCATCTTAGTCGCCCTCCTCTGGACCCTTTCCAAAATCTCAATGTCTTTCTTGTACTGAGGGCTCCACACCTGGACACAGTACTCCAGATGGGGCCTCACAAGAGCCGAGTAGAGAGGGACGATCACCTCCCTGTCCCTGCTGACCACCCCTCTCCTGATGGAGCCCAGGATCCCATTTGCCTTTCGAGCTGCCAGAGCGCACTGCTGGCTCATGTTCAGTCTCTCGTCCATCAGGACCCCCAGGTCCTTCTCTGCCGAGCTGCTCTCAAGGCCCACTCCTCCCAGCCTGTACGGGTGCCTGGGGTTCTTCCGGCCCAAATGCAAAACCTTGCACTTTGCCGTGTTGAACCTCATTAGGTTCACCCGAGCCCAGCTTTCCAGCCTGTCGAGCTCCCTCTGCATGGCATCCCTTCCTTCCACCCTATCAACCGCACCACTCAGCTTGGTGTCGTCAGCAAACTTGCTGAGGGTGCACTCAATTCCCTCATTGATGTCATTAATAAAGATGTTAAAGAGCACTGGTCCCAAGACAGACCCTTGGGGGACACCACTTGTTACCGGCCTCCACCTGGACACAGAGCCATTGACCACCACCCTCTGTCTGCGGCCTTTCAACCAATTGCTTATCCATCGGGTCGTCCACCCATCAAATCCACTTCCACTTCCACTGATAGGCTCCTCTTTTTACTGGGAATGATGTTGTAAATGTCCAAGTATCCATTTTATATCAACTGATTTTTAAAAGCCATCCTAGGCTAATGATTTCCTAATCACTTCAGTGTATTGCTCTGCAGCCTCAGCAGTAATCAAAGTGCTCCAACCTCTCACCTGCAGAGGTGCATTTTTCCCATTTATTACCTTGGGAGCACTTCTCAGAATCATGAAATAAACAAGTTATTTGAACAATTGTACCACCCAAGGGGCAAAGTGTGAGATCTGACAACTGTGTCAGTTTGTTATGGAAACTTTTGTTACATGTAAAAGCTTAGCTGCAGAATTTTCCAGCTTTCTTTTTCCTGTTCCACCTTACAACTGTGCGTACAGGGAAGGTTTCAATTAGATGTCAGAGGTAGATTTTTCACAGAGAGGGTTGTGAGGTGTTAGAACAGGCTGCCCAGAGAGGCACCTCCATCCCTGGAGGTGCTCAAGACCAGGTTGGTTGGGCCCAGGGCAGCTTGATCTAGAGGTTGGCATGCTCTGGGGGCCTGATCTAGTGGTTGGCAGCCCTGCCCGTGTGGAGCTGGATGATTTTTGAGGTCCCTTCCAACACAAACCACTCTAGGATTCTGTGTATAGAAGAAAGATTGTAGACATATAAGCTTTAGAATGTATTTAATAGCTTTGAAGTGCCTGTTGTAAGGTGTTTGTAGCTGGTGAGTGCTGTGTGCTGCCATTGCAGTAGCTGAGGGGAAAACGAGAGGAAACAGTGCCTTGTGGCCCCAGATTACAGCTCTGGATTCAGTCCTTGGCTCTGACCCAAACTCAAGTGGTGAAACTGGGGGTTGTACAGTCTTTTTCTGCATTATTATATCTGAGTTCTCTCTGCAGGACATTTAGCTTCCTCAGGCAGGATCTGCACTGGAGCTGTGTCTGACCTGTGGCGTGCTCTCTTTGGAAGATATCTTAAGTAAATCTGAAGATAGAATTGCCTTTCTGAAATCCCTTAGGATTTGATCCTGGGATATTACCAGTTTGCATTATATCTGATTGGTCTCTCTGAGGCAAGCCAGTTTTGGTGGTGAGCTGGTTGTTTTGGGAACCAAATTATAGAGCATATGGTAGCAGTTGGCCTTTTTATGACTGTCATTTCCAGTGTCAGAGATGGTGCAAAAGAAGTGATGCATGCTTATGGAGTGAATTTTACTCCTTATTAGACTTCCTTTTCTGAGCTCTGTAAGATCTCCATATTTTTAACACCTGTCTGCTGATAAATAAGGCATAAGGAATGCCAGGTGTCTGTCTTTGTGTTGTGTCCCATGTCCTGAAGTCAGTGTCTCTGAAACAGGGTCCTGCAGTGCTCTATGTACACTCCTGGGGACTGTCGTGCCCTGGGCAGGGCAAAGCTATTCTGTGCTGGTTTGTAGTTAGTGCCAACGTAGAGCATATTTCGTGAGTTAAGTCCCAAAGAGGAAATTTGAATAAAACTTTGTTGGCAAATACCGAAATGAAATTGAATTCAGACAGCATCCTTCTAACAAGGGTGTTTTACTTCCCTGCAGAAACTCAGTTGCAGATACCAATGCAAGTCATCTGAATGTAATGGTTGTGTGCAGAAGTGATCTGAAGTGCAGTCAAGAGCACAAGAAGTGTGCTGGAAGCTGCTCAGTGTTAAGTGGAAAGTGTTTGTGATGTGTCTGCTTTTCCTTTGATTGCATTCAGGCAGCTCAACCAAAGCATCTCACATATGCTACAAGTGGACGCCCAAGATCAGCAAAGCTCAGACTATTCTGCTAATGGGAGCATTTTGAAGGTTGGTTTGGAGAGAAACGCTACGTGGCTCGAACTGAATACTGCTGTGAGTACACCAAGTTGGGAAGGGAAGAAAGAGCAGAAGGAAACAGTGAGACCAGTTGCCAGGGTGGAAGAAGGCAAGGAGAAGGTGACTGTGAAACCATTCCCTGAGGTGGTGGGAATCAAGAATACAACAGCATCAACAGCCTCTGTAGTGGAGAGAACAAAGGAGAAAACAACAGCAAGACCAGTTCAAGGGGTAGAGGAAGCTGATGGGAAGAGAACAGTTCCCAGGATGAAGGGAGACAAAGAGAAGGCGACTGTGAAACCATCCTTTGGGATGAAGGTGGATCATGCAAACAGCACATCCAAAGACAAACCAAAGGCAGAAGAGCCTCCTGCGTCAGTGAAAACCATAAGACCTGTGACTCAGGCTGCCACAGTGACAGAAAAGAAGAAACTGAGGGCTGCTGATTTCAAGACTGAGCCTCAGTGGGATTTTGATGATGAGTACATACTGGATAGCTCATCTCCAGTATCGGTAGGTGTAATGGCCTTGTGTGTATGTCCCTGCTGACCTCTTTGTCTGCTGTCTCCTGGGCATCTTTGCCCTTCAGAGCAGAGGCTGATGTCCAAGCTGGTAGATCAACCCACTCATGTAGGCAGGTGCTGCTGAGGCCCAGAGCAGGAGAGCTGTGTGAGTATGGCTCAGTTGGCCTGGCCTGTCCTCCACCATGCTCCAGGATGGGAAGTTGCTGGAACTGCACCCATTTTCATGGGTTCCTTTCATTAAAAGTCAGCCAGAACAATCTTTCTATAACTCAGGAGCATCAGGAGCTGGGGAGAATATCTCTGCTGCTAGATGTCCTACAAGGTGATTCCAGTCTTGAGTGCTTTGCTCTGTTGCATAGGAGACTTAGGTACATAACGCAGCTTCTGTGTAGCTCAGTGCCCTAAAGTAAGTGCCATTACACTTAGTCTTGTAATGTCTGTGACAGACATTCAGAGCCTAGCCCTAAATCATGGTCCTAATACGGGTGTCTCATTTCCTGGGAAACTGAACATCTCCATTGTATGAGGACTCAGCTTTTACAGTTCCCAGATTTGCCTCGATCTTTGTGTTATGCAGCCAGGCTAAAGTAATCAGGGTTGTGGGGAAGGAACAGGAGTACATCTGTGTGATCTGTTTTCCCAAGCAGATGTGTAGTAATGCGAGTCCAAAGCTTTGGCAGCAGTGGGAAACTTGTGCTTGTGCTGTGCTGTAAGGAGTGACACTGGCAGTGGGAGTGAGGAGGATCCCGATGCACTGAAGTGGAGGCTTTCTCACGTGTTTGAGTTAAAGTCGGAGTGAAGTGACAGAAAAGTTAGGTGATGGTTGGTGAATGCTTATCTTACTGCTCCAGAGACAGCAGAGCAGAGGCTGTTGGTGGCATTAAGGTGAATGTTGGTGCTGCTGGAGAGGTCTGCCAGGGCTGCAGGCACTGCGTCATTCTGCTCAGGCCTCCCCCTGCTCTCTTGAAAATGTTAATGCCAACCCCACTGTGCCTTGGGAGACACAGAGAGCAGAGGTAGATTAGCTGCAGGGATGAAATATCCGGGGCTGAACTTTACTGTTTTGATGTTTTCTTTCTGAGTTCATTCTTCTTTGTGGTCTTTGCCCCTTTTGGCAGTGCAAGCCATTCTTTTGCTGACAGGTTGTGCTCTTCAGGGTGGCGTTGAGCCACATGAGAGGAGAAGATTCGTGATTCTATTAAATAGAACATTTGGCTGTTAAACCTTTGAGCTCATTTACTGGCCCAGCCTTACTGTGACACAGCAGAAGGGCCTGGCTCACGATCATGTGTGTGGAGCAGGATGTGCATCCTTGTTCCTGGACTAGAGGCACCCGAAATACAAAAGGGAGTGGGCAAAATATGAGGCTGAGTGTGCGTGTGCCATATGTGACAGTCCCTCACCCTTCCTGCCCTGTGCTACTGCACTACACGGAGTGGGGTTAGGTCAGCTGGATCCTGCTTGGTGACTCCCAGATGCTTCTGTCTTCTGTAGCTCCCTGGAAAAGACATGCAGCTATCTCAGAGTGCAGAGCAGGAGCTGGCAGAGAGATGAGGGACAACAGCTTTCAGCAGGAAGCCAAGTGTTCTTCATTCTAACTGGGGCTGCAGAGCATCTGGGCTTGCAGAACAGCTGAGACAGCGGGGAAAACCCTTCCACAATAGTGGAACATGGAGGAAGTACGTGCAGAAGGGTTGTTGGTGAGGATATGGATTTAGACATCATGCACTGAATCTTGCTTCCAAATGTCATCTCTAATTCTGCAAATAGAAGGAGTAACTACAAGTGCTTCCAACTTCCTTCATTTCCTGCACAGTCAGACTTTCCCCTAATTCCTCTTGTATTGATCCAGACGAGCTGTGAGAAGTACCAGGCCTCAAACAGTACAAAGTACAGCTTGCACATCCCTGTCTCTGGACATGTAACATGCTAAAAATGAAATGACACCAACATCAAACCCTGCACAGTATTTTTGTCATTGCAGTGCTGTCATGACAAGCAGAACGTCAGCAGGGAGCCCAGCTCAGCTGTGAGCATGCTGCAAGGCTTTGGTAAAGCCTGGCCACTTCTGGGTCTTTGAGGTGGGCACATAGGTCCACTTGGTCTTCTTTTTTGTACTCTGGTAGATACTGTAGTAACAACTGTTTGGGGAAGATGTCTAAGAGAATAAAGGCTAAATTGACTCAGTGGAAAATCCACCACAGTTGGAGCTCTCTGCTCTCCATCTGCACACACAGCCTAATGCTTGCCAGCTGCAATGAGACCATTCTTGTTACCAGCTGACTTGGATTCTCTTATCAGCTGTAAGTTGCTCTGCTGTTCCTTTAGGAAATGGAATAAGCTGTGTGCTTTTTCTTTTCTTTTAAGGGAACAACAATGGTGATCTGACCCCACCTGTGTGTCAGTATGCGTGTGCATGTTGTATCTGAGATCAAAGGCCTGTGAGCTGTGTTGTCAAAAGGGACTGCTGGCCTTATCTGGTTCATTTAAAAAAAACATAGGACCATGACCAGGTTACACCTGTTACAAGTTTCAGTTGGCAACAGGTAGTGAGGCCTGAGGCCATTAAAACCTGTGAGAGCTACAGGCCTATTTTTCTGAAGAGGAAAGTCTCCGAGACTTGGGGTAATCCTGCCTTACCTGTAAGTGATTTTGCATCATCTAATTGTTCATCTGTTATTGTGTCTCATTTCTGTGGTAATGGGGACACTGAGAGGAGTGGAAGATCCATTGGATTTCTCTGATTCTTTACATGACACTTGTGCATAGGCACTCAGACAGGTTTATCAGCTTCTTGCTGATCAGCCCTTATTGTTTCTTCTTGTTTTTCAAGACCTGCTCTGAATCAGTGAGAGCCAAGGCTGCCAAGTCTGACTGGCTGCGAGATCTTTTCCTGCCAAACATCACACTCTTCATAGACAAGAGGTACTTCAATGTCAGCGAGTGGGACCGCCTGGAGCATTTTGCACCTCCCTATGGCTTCATGGAGCTGAATTACTCACGTGAGTCTCCCAGGGTTGTCAGAATGGGACCATGAAAACTTCCCACAAGAACTGTATGCTGGGTTTCTGGTGTTTTGCAGGACCTCCTTGACAAACACATCAAGCTAGGTGGATCTTGTGGAGGAAATTGTGGTGGTTTCCCTGGGTCCATTCTCAAGGTTCTTGATGCTAATGCTCCACCATGTTTGCTTCACAGTGGTAGAAGAAGTCATGTCACGCCTGCCCCCAAATCCCCACCAGCAGCTGCTCCTGGCCAACAGTAGCAGTAACGTGTCAACGTGCATCAGCTGTGCCGTTGTGGGGAATGGAGGGATACTGAATAACTCTGGAATGGGCAAGGAGATCGACTCCCATGACTACGTGTTCCGGTGAGACGACCTGATGGTTCCTGGGAGACACACAGCTAGCCTGCTGTGGCCAGCAGGAAGCTGTGCTGACTGCCAGCTGCCCAAATGATTGGTGGCAGGAGGAGATGAAAAACCATAAAGGTTTTTCTCTTATCTGCTAACTATCTGTTTGATTTCCTTGGACAGGGTGAGTGGAGCTGTCATCAAAGGTTACGAGAAGGATGTGGGAACAAAAACCTCCTTCTATGGATTCACAGCATTCTCCCTTGTGTCCTCTCTCCAGAACTTGGGACGCAAAGGGTTCGATAAGATCCCGCAGGGGAAGGTTAGTCAGGTCAATGCTTGTACAGCTTTGACAGGATTCTGTTAACCTGTGACCTTCATTTCTGATCTTCTCATGCGTGGTGGGCAAAGGGGCTGAGCTAACACTTCAGCATTACTCTTAGTGAGGGATCCGTGGCTTGAGAGTGAATGTTCACAGTGGCCAATTGTGCTAGTCCTACCCTAGCCCTTTAGAATATAATAGAATAGTTCACTTGGAACTGCCTGGCCACACCAGGGCCTGCCAAAGCTAAATCATATTATTACAGGCATTCTCCAAATGCCTCCTGAACAGTGGCAGGCAAGTCATCAGCCACCTTGTTGGGAAGCTAGTGCTAGTGGTGGCAGTGGTGATGAGGAGACGGTTGGACTGGATGATCTTGTAGGTTGTTTCCAACCTTGTGGTTCTATGAAGCCTGATCCAGTGTTCAACCACCCTCACAAACCTTTAGCATGTTGAAGTAGCTATGGATCAGATGTTCTCTCCACTCTGTCACTGTGGGATGGTTAAAAGCTGCAGAGCACCGGTGTGTGCTTGAGCAGCTCAGTCAGCTTAGATGTCTGCTTGCTTTTTGGTGTTAAAGGACATGTCTCTCTTGTGTTGTTCGTTAACGCTCACTTTTTCTTTCTTAGCATATCAGGTACATTCACTTCCTGGAGGCAGTTAGAGACTATGAGTGGCTGAAGGCTCTTCTGCTGAACCAGGATATCAGGAAAGGATTCCTGAACCACTATGGGTAAAGCAAACCAGCTCCACCTCTACGTCCTTCAGTGTGGAGCTCTCTGCTGTACCTTCATCTCCACAGTGCTCAGTCTGCCGAGTTGCAAGACCAGCTTAAATCCTCCCTTCTTTATCTGATTTATCTGAAGAAGTGTCTTCTTTCCCTCCCAGCTGTGAGCACTGCTGTGATGCCTCCTTCCTAGCTATTTCTATAGTAGCTGCTTTTAGTGGTCTGTGGTCTGAGCTGAGAGAAAGCTTTGAGTTTCTGTGGGATGAACACGAACTGCTCTCTGCTTTGATGTCTGTGTGTGGTCCTACTCATGGGTGAAGAGCTGGTTTCACCAAGTCTTATCTATACACATGCATGTTTTAGATATTTCCATCTCCTTTGTTGCCACTCTTGCAGCAGGCTTTGGAGGCTTTGTCATCATCTAAGAAATGTTGCAGGATAACTGAACAATGTGATTCTTCTCTCACCACCAAGTACATCAGGCTGATGCTTTCCAGCCATAATGAAACACGGGAGTTTATCCTGAGTGTCTCCCTATTCCTGTCCCTAGGCAAAGGCCCCGGGAGAGATTTGATGAAGATTTCACGATGGATAAGTACCTGGTAACTCACCCTGATTTCCTCAGATACTTGAAAAACAGGTGAGCTGGGAACTGTGTGCTTTCTGGCTGGCAGCATCTCTCTCTGTCTCTGTGCTCTCTCTTTCCAACCCAATGACTTGTAACTGCAGTTGAGCCGTACCAGCAGATTTGGGGTTATCTTCACCAGTGTGCAGTCACTTAAGGTGCTCTGTGGTACTGCAGTGGGATGTTAGCTGCAGGTAGACCTACAGACTTCTCATCTGTGAGCAAAAGAAGCAGCAGCTCTCAGACAGATTGGCTTTCTGCATCCAAAAGGAGTCAAGTAGCAATGTTAGATGTGAGCAGAGCATTGCTGAGGTGCCAGGATAGTTAGTTAGCCTGTTCAGGACCAACCTTTCATGCTACCCATTGCTCAGCACCTTGAGGAAGGCTCCATAACAGCCCTCCTCTCCTTAGATCATGTCTTAACTCAAGGGATTAGTTGTTCCCTCAAGCACAGTAATGAGCTCTTCTTCAGCATCCTATTTGGGCTGACTGCACTTCTTTGCATCTCATTTTCACAAGTGTGCCCTGGATACTATTACTGTTATAAGATCTGCCAATTGTGGGCCACACATGACCAGGAGATATAGGAAGAAGAGCTCCTGTTGTGCCAGTTCTGATTGTGTTTGCCCTTTGGTCTCCTTGAGAGCTGCATTATGTCTTTCTGATAGATAGCAAATGCAGTGCCAGATGGCTTGCACTCCCCTGCTCATTCTTCTCTCTCTTCTCTGACTTGGGCTCTTTCCAAGGCCAGGAGAGCTCAAATTCTATTTTTAATGTGTGGACTCCTACCTTCCTAACAACTGCTGGCACAAAACACAGCAGCTCCTAGCAGATTTTGTGACCCTCCTTCTGCACCTTTCCTGCATCGTGTTTCATTCCCGAATGTGGATGGGGGGAGTATACCAGGGACTCTAAAGCCACCTCTGCACTGCAAGGCAAGGAACAGGGAGTGATTTGAATGTACTAAGTCCTTTAATCGTGTCCCCATTTATCCCTGCTGCTTCTTGACCTGTAAAGTTTGGGCTGAGCTGGGTTCAGTGCAGGTTTCAGTGCAGGTGATGGAAGCATTCTGGACTGGCCTTGTGCTTCACTGAGCACACAGCACTACCCACACATGAGCAGTCGTGGCTTGTTTGAAATGCTCAGTGTGGCCACAAGCTGCTGCAAGGAGGGAAAGTGCCAAATGAGCCCAGGAGGACAAGCCATGCACAGCTTGAGGCAGCGCGCTCAGCAGCCGCTCCGTGCTTTCTTCTCTCATACTGCAGGTTCTTGAAATCTAAGAATCTGCAGAAGCCCTACTGGCGGCTGTACAGACCCACAACAGGAGCCCTCCTGCTGCTGACTGCCCTGCATCTCTGTGACCGGGTAAGGGTAGTACCATTCTTGCTCACACCCCTGTCTGGAAACAAAGGATAACTGAGTGTGGGTGTCCCCAGCCCTGCCTTGTCAGCTAGAGGGGAACAGAGTGAGCACAAAAAAAAAGCAGCCCTAAAATAGTTCACACAAAGGTTGTGCAGCCTGATTTAGGACCTGAGAGCTGTTGTGCCTCCCAGGCTTCTTGCACAAGTCAGTGCAAGAGGATGTTGGCTTTCTGGGGCCTCTTTTCACAGCCTGGTCTATATTGGGTGCCCTTGCAGAGTCATTGGGAGGCGACCTTTTCTGTGCTCCCACCCTGTCTGGGAGCTGTCCTGTATTTCATTTAGCTCCCTCTGTCCTTGATATCTCCCTGCTGAGCCCTCTTGTCTTTCCCAGGTGAGTGCCTATGGCTACATCACAGAAGGTCACCAGAAATACTCGGATCACTACTATGACAAGGAGTGGAAACGCCTGGTCTTCTACATTAACCATGACTTCAACTTGGAGAAGCAGGTGTGGAAAAGGCTCCATGATGAGAACATCATGAAGCTCTACCAGAGACCCTGACTGTGTGGTGAGGGCCGTTGCCTGGGAAATCTCAACAGCACCTCACAGGGAACAGAAGAGGACCTCAGAAGCCAGGGTTAGCACTGCACTTCCAGGCCCAGCTTCAGCTGCACAGAGATATTTCTGTCCTTTGGTATCTTTATTTTCTAACAACACTTCCTAAAACGTGCATATTCTACAGACCAAGAGAACAGAAGGGAAAAGTGCCTCCAAACAAGTCCCACCTGACTTGTGGATGGTTGTATGCTCTGGTGCTGGGAAAGAGAAATCCAGGATGAATCTGAATAGCAGATGTTCCAGTGCCCATTATCTTAATCAGGTTCTCCCTCTGCAAGATGGTTTGGGGCTAGTTTTGCTGTAGGTGGGTTCTCTCTGTGAGCAGTGCTCTTTGTGGAGCTGGGTGTTTTTGATAAGCAGTGGGAAAAGGGGACACGGACCATCCTGTCTCAAGGGGATGATTTGTGTCCTGGAGGTGCTCTTGTTGCTCTGCTCCCTGCAAACATAAAGACTGAACTCTTAACTTCCAAATGCATCTCAGTTCCCAATGTGACTTTGCTGTGACACCTCCTGGGGAGCACTGTGATGTCTGGTGCCCAGCCTGCTGACCTTGGTCTAGTTCACCATCAGCACAAGAGAAGGGGAGAGCTCTCCAGAGTGCAGCAGGATGCTGGACATTGTGCCTCTTGCTGTGGGGCTCCCCTGGCTGCTGACTGCATGTAGTGAGTCTGGTGCAGAAGCTGGTGCTTGGCTATGCCAGGAGCATGGTGCCTCCTCTCCTACCAGGAGAAATGAGAGTTCTCAATGTCCAGGGATGGATGCTCTCTGTCCTTGCTGCTGACTGGAGTGCCTGCCTACATTGTGCTGAGAAAAGCACTGTTGCAGCCAGCAAGCCTTTGGACTACTGGTCTTCTGAGTGGGCTTTTGCAAACAAAATAAACGGCACTGCTTTACCCAAGCTGATTTCCATTGCAGCCCTTTGAGATGCGGTTTGTATCTTGTATCCCAGTCACCCCCCAGAGCCCACGGAGGGTTTTGCTGCTGCACCCACAGGCTCTGTGCCCTGCAGTGCCTGTGCGTGGCTGCCGCCCCGAGTCTAGGGGCTCTGGGTGAGCAGGGAGGCAGCTTTGTTCCTTGCCCGTGCATTGCTGTGGGTTGCTTGGTGACCGGCTCCACTGGGTATTCTTCCCTTCTGAATAGGGCTTTTCTCCTCCCAAGAAGTTGGAAGAAGTTTCTTTCAAAAGAAAGAAACTCCCTTCCCCCTCTTCCTCTTTTGTCTCCCTCTTTTCTGGGAAACAGGGCAGGGCTGAGCCCTGCTGAGCAAACGAGGAGCCCAGCCTTTGAGATGGGCTGGCAGCCCCCAGCACCCATCTCCTCTGCAGCTGAGGGTCCCCGGAGTCAAGGAGAGGGAACTCCCCGGGACGATGTCCCCACCAGCAGATCCCCCTTGGCTCCTCTCTTAGGGTAGAGCCACGCAACAGAATGTCTGCAGCCCTGTGGTTTGGTGTGCCTGGCAGGGCAAAATTGGTGATGCTGGGCTGTGCTGAAGCAGCCTCAGTCTCTCCAGCGCTGCCCTGGTGACCAAGGATGTGATTCTGGGCCACTCCAAATGTCCACATCCAAGCCAGCAGCGTTGTCCCTGTGCCACCAGGTGGCAGCTGCTGTCCAGGGCTGTGCTGTGGGCATCCAGGTGTGGCAAAAGCCGTGTCCCAGTGGGCCGTTGGCCCCTCGTGTCCCACACTTCGTGATGCCCACCTGCCCTTATGGATTATGGCATGGAAGCTATTTGGAGTGCACAGGGGTGCACACAGGAGCAGTTTGATGCCATCACACTCTGAAAGCGTTGTCACATCAGCCCTGCTTTTTTGGGAGGAAGATGTTGGAGAGAGCCATGAGCTGTAAGTACAGCTGTGTCCTTCTCACTGGGTACCCAGGAGTTAACAGCCCCCAGCTGTTCCCTGCTGGGATGCAGGGACAACTCCCCCTGCTCACAGAGCCACATTCCTGGCAGGGCTTCCAACCCTTTGTTTGGTTTCCCTCTCTTCTCTTTCTGTGATGTGAGACAGCACAACCTTCCCGTGTTGGTGACTTGCCCGATGGAATTGGTGTTTATTTGTGTTACCCAAACAGAGAGTGGGTTTGGGGGCACCTCTCAGTGAGGTTTGCACCCTTCCTCACCTCTGTGTGTAGACCTGTGCTCTCTTCTCAGGGATGTGGCAGCAGGGAAAGCCAGTTGGACAAGAAAAACTATTGGTAATAAGGGAGGGTGAACGAGATAAAGGAACGACCTGAGGCTTTGTTCTGCACAAAGCAGAGGATGACCTCCCTTCCCTGAGTGCCTTGGGAGGGAACTGGAGCGGGGCCCTGCAGGCAAACAGCTCCTGAGATGTGGCAACCTGAAGGCATGGGCAGACCCAGCCCTGGGGCCCAGATCCTGGAGGGGGTCCTGGGAACATCCTGGGATCCTTGGGTTGTCACGCCATGGGAACCCTGCAGGCAGACGAGGCAAGCACTGAGTTGTGCTCAGTGATGCTGTGTCATTAAGGACACAGAGCGTGGCCAGCCCCCACGTGCCCTGCTTCAGCAGATCTAGGGGATGTTTTGCCTGCAGAGACCCTGGCAGGATTGGTCCAGAGCAGCCAAGAGAGCGCTTGCAGTGCCGTCACCTCACCACAATCAGAGGTGTTTTCCAGCTCTGTGCCCATCCAGGGCAGATCCCAAAGCCTCACCCAATGCCTCGTGCCCTTCGGACTGTGTGCTCAGCTTATCTCAGCCCCAGCCAGCGGTCCAGGGCTGACCGACAGCTCTGCCATGCACGGGCATCTCTGTGATAAGTGGGGCTGAGCCCAGTGGGGCAGGGAGGAACCTCGTCCCTCTGATGTTTCCGCTTCTGCAGGCAGCACAAGGGCACCACAGGGCACAGCTGACCGACAGGATCCAGTTGGTTTGGCACAAAGATGAGCCACGTTAACCCGGTTTCAATGCTGCATCCCGCTCTGTCCATAGTGGAGATCGATGCTTCGTTTCCTTGGGCAGCTTTGGGGTGAAAATCACAAAGGCAGAGCCCAGTGCTCAGAGTGACCAAACGTCCTCTACGCTGCCCTTCCCTGCACCAAGACCTAGAAGCTCCACTGGGACAACGAGGGACTGTGAAGGCATTTCACCTCTGCAGGGACTTGGCGAGGGGAGGTTTGGAAACAGGTGCCCGTTTTCCCATTCCTTGCATTCAATTTGAGGACAAATTTCTCCCAAAGAGAAATCAGGCACAGGCTGCCCAGGGGAGGTGGCGCAGTCATCTGGAGCTGTAGAAGAAACGTGCAGATGTGGCACTGAGGGATGTGGTTTAGTGGTAAACATTGGTGGTAGGCAGACGGTCGGGCTGGGTGACCTTGGAGGTCTTTTCCAACCTTAATGATTCTGTGATTCCCAATTTCCCCCAGCAGTGCGAATGGCTCAGGCCTGACTTCCAAGAATCAACTGCCCGAATGCACAGCTCAGGCTAAGGATGATAGCTCTTATCATGATTATTGTGTGTTCTTTTCCTAACCTTAATGGCCGTTATCATCCTAAAACCTTATCACACTTACCCGGCTTCTAAACAAGCACAACTTATCTTCAGGGTGTGGGCCAGCATGCGTTGTGCCATAACATAAATGGAGCAGATGAACCGTGTATCTCAGCAAAGAAGTGACAGCAAAAAGCCACGTGGAGTGGAAACTGATGGAGATGTCAGAGCAGCTCCTCCACCCTGATGGAGGAAGGCAGCAGAGCTGTGTTGTAGGGCTGTAGGCATTTCCATATGGCAAACCCATGGCTTTCCCCAGCCTGCTGCTGCTTTGCTCCCCCAGGGCTGAGCCACACTGACTCCTTTGTGATTTACCCACACAGTGGGTAACAATTAGCCCTGATTAACGAAGGGTCAAAAGGAATCACATGAGCTGAGGCAACCCTTAGATATCAATGCTGGATGCGGTCTCACAGCGTAAGAAAACCATTTAGGGATCGCTTGGAGTTGGTTTGCTTTCTTCTGTTAGATGAACCTGGCAAAACGTTATCTGGAAATACCCTCGAAGAAAAAGCTGAACGTTTTCCTTCGGAAAGCAGCCAGGCTCAACTCCAGCCCTCCGCTCGCAGCTCCTCTGCGGGTGCCGGGGGCAGTTCCAGCAGCGCTGGGGTAGGCTCCCTTTTTCCCCGTTCCCCTCTTTTCCCCCCCCCCCCCCCCCTTTTTTTTCCCCCTTTTTTTCCCTCCCCATTTCTTTCCGCCCCAACCTGGCCCTTACAGACCGAGCTCTGATGGCCGCAATGCGCCCACGGGGTCCGGCGTGGGAGCGGCGGACGTGAGAAGCGGATGAAAAAGTTACGGGAAAAGGGAGAAAGCTCCGATTTGTGCTCAGCGAGGGGGTGGCGTGAAAGGGAGGCGAGAAAAAAAAGAAAAAACAAACGCAAAAGCCGCGCTGAGTCAATGTTTAACCCCCAGCGCGCAGCAAAAGCGGCTCAAAAGTGGTGTTTTTTTTTTTCTTCTCAGCGAGTCTGAACCAGTCCGCCCAGTGCCTCCTCCCTTCGGCTCACACCCTCCTTCCTCCCACCGCTACTCGGGAACATCCATCAGTCCGTCCATCCATCCGTCCGTCCGACCGTCCCGGCTGCGGAGAGCAGCGCAGCACCGCCGCTTTCGGATCCACGCGGACCCAATCCGGAAAGCAGCGATGGGGTTCCCCCGCTGGAAGCGTTTCTGCTTCTTGCTCCTCGTAGCCTTCACCTCGTCCCTTTTGCTCTACAGGCACTATTACGCTACGATGGAGCTGCGCAGCGGTCCGAGGGTCGCGGCCAGGTACGGGGGATGCGTGTGGGGTGGATCTGGGGGGCCTGGGAGCTGCTCGGCCCCTCCGTGCCCGCTTTGTTCGATGTTTGAAGGGCTGTTTCTCCCCCGCCCCACTGCAAGGTGTCCTGGGTCCTATATGGAACTCCTGGGCTGCTGTGCCAGGGTCCCTACGTGGACTCAGGGTGAGGGATCAGAGCGCCGCCGGCAGCAGGATTGGAAGCTTGGATTGCTTTGCAGGGTGAAGGGCTGACCCTACACCGCAGCTGCAAGAGCAGGGCACTGCTGCCGGCATCCCGCAAACTCCCGGACTCCGGCAATGGGCATCTCCTCCTTTGCTGCCCCTTCGGATTTCCCCTGAGCACCCCCAGTTCTGGGCTGGGTGCTGGGCAGCCCCGGGTGCACGGCTGTGAGAGCAGGGATGGTGCTGTGGGACAGAGGGGAGACTCTGTAGGACCACAGCCGGTCCTACACAGGGGCAGCTGGGTGCAGGCCGGTTTGCACAGGGAGGCACTGGGATGCAGCTGGATGGGCTGCCTTGGGGCTGCATCTCCCCCAGCGGGAGCTCTGTGCACCCATCCCACCTCACAGCCCGGGCAGGAGCTGCTGCACAGTGCTGGGCTCGTGCCTGGGTGCCCTTGAGAGGAGAAGCTGAACCCCACGATGGCTCCAAAGCTCTCCTGGGATTGTTCCCATTGGCTTTAATCCCAATATCAAAGTGCAGCTCGTGTCCCGTTGGCTCCGATTCCCAGCATTTGCAAACATGCTGCCCCGTAATCTCTGCTTGTGCCTCCAAAAATACCAACCTGGAGCCACCAGCGCTGCTCTGGCAGCTGATACAGGGCTGAGCTGGGACTGAAATCCACAGGTGCAGCACTCCTTACTGCTAAACACGAGCACGGGGTGACCTGGGCTTTTCCTCCCATTGGGGCACAAAGGGTGGCTGAGCAGTGCTGCATTTTGGGGAGCACAGTGTGTACAAGGTCTCCTCCTGCTGCAGCCTGGTGGGGGCACGCAGGGCTTGGGAAGGTGCTGAGCCCTGAGTGTGGAGCTCTGCCCATCCCAGCGTCCCACATGAGCTCTGTGCTGGGGAGGAGGCCCCACACTCAGCCCTTTGCAATGGGATGGAGCAGATGCTG